CATTCCTGATGCTGGGCTGGGTTTCCAGGATGAGTCTCTCTGCCAGTAGCAGTCTGAAAAGATTCAAGCAGGCCTTCCAAAGGCAGTGTGTCCACAGACTATCAACTCAAATCCATCACGTTTGGCACCTCATAGCTTGATTCAAAAACTCCACAGTGAGTTGACAGGCAGCAAACAACATGTAGCCAGCCTTCCTGAGACAACCAAGACCTCCACTCCTAGAAGTGATTTCCCAGTAAAAGTTGTGATTTCCCAATCTTTCCAGTGGTTTTCTTGCTCCAGTACTTGTCCAGAAGGGGGGGGGAATGTCGAATTGGTTACTTAAAGACAGCTGACTTGCAGTCAGACACAGCTCTGTTGGTAATTAACTGGTCCCTACACAGCACACAAGCAAGCTGAGCAGGGCTGTAATGCACATTACAGTACATTAATGTATATAGGGCAGACACATGGCAGCTGTAGGTTATTTCCTTAGCCACTTCTAGGGTGTAAAGATGACAGCTTTGCTCAGGAGACTCTAACTTTTGTCAATGGTAGAGGTATTTTAAGCTAGGGATGAGAAGGGAAATCAGCTGAAAGAGGTGGAGGCTGGAAAGAAAACAACCTTTAAGGGAAAGGCTGAGGAAGGGAGACCCCTCAGCACACATCCCCTGCTAAAACATGGAGACCAGCATTCAAGAAGAGCATATAGAGTAGAGACAACCAGAGATCATCTCTGCAGCAACAGGCTGACAAGCAGCAGGAAGCCAGAAAAACAGAAAACTAAAAAAACAGCACCTGTTTAAAATATATCATCTGGAAAAATGCAAGCATTCGCTCAAAGGTGAGCATAAGGAAAAGACATTTAGAGCCTCTGAAAGGCAAGCCATTGAGGTAGAAAATTCAAGATGCTTCATTATCATCCGTCTGCCCAGAATAACTCTTGAAGAAATATTGCCAAGGTTCCTATTTTCTCTGATATTTGTAGCCCTTCAGGCACAGTTAACCCCTAGTTAATACAGGCAATAAAGAATTACATTTTACAGTGAACACCATGCACCCCCCAGTGCCAGGTGGGTTGTTTTACAGTGATTTACATTTACACAACGTCTTCAGGAGACGAAGCAAAGACTTTGGATTATCTGACTGAAGCAGAAGTGGGCAAGTGGGTGACAGTGTGTCATACGCTCCCAGCTTTATGTGAGCTAATTAAAGATTGCCACAGGGGCAAGCCTGTGCATGACAGCTCCTTTTATTATTGCCTGTGACCACGCAATCTTCTCTAGCTCATCTATATATTTCAAATTTTTTCCTGCCTCACTGCCTCCACGCCCACCCCAGCTACTGGGTTTCATTTCAGAGTGTCATACAGGAACCTGTACCACACCAATGAGGCAGCAGACATTTGCCTTTCATGAGATGTGCTGAGATCATTTAGCAGTAAGTCTATTGCTGTGTACCCCTTGATGTTAACTTTCAGCTGAGGAAAGGAACAATTTTAACTCAAGATTCCTAATTTCAGCTCGATCACCATCCCAAGTGAGATTTCTAAACACAGAAATAAGTAAAACTTGTACCTTAAAGCACATGTTAGGGGAGATGAGATCACTGGGAAAAGCAACAATATAGAAGTAAGATTAATAGGATGATAAGTGGCTAATAGCATAGCGAGTCAATTTGATTAGACACGAGGGTGCACAGTGCTTTATGAAATTAAGTGAGGCAGGAAGAGGCAGAGGTAAATAACTGACTTTATCACTGTAAGAATGGGCCTCTTTCCC